AAAGATAAAAATCGGATTAAACCCATTAGGAAAAATGAGTACAATCTAACCTTCCAAGAGAGAGAGTCTTTAAAAAGTTTTAAAAACGACAACACATTGGTTATAAAACCAGCCGACAAGGGAGGGGGCATTGTCCTTATTGAAAGAATTGACTACATAGAAGAGTCAAATAGGCTGTTGAATGACCCTACGACCTATACAATCCTTAATAAAGATCCAACGAATGTAATTAAGGCAAGCTATACCAGATTGATTGATAAAGGTAAATTAATGGGCATTCTCAACAAAAAAGAATCTGAGTTTTTGAATATACAGCATCCTCGAATTCCAGTGTTCTACTATTTGCCCAAAATTCATAAAAATCTAATGAAACCACCTGGACGACCTATTATTTCAGGAATTGGGTCCATATCCAGCAGACTTTCCCAATATATAGATCAATGCTTACAACCTATAGTTAGGAAATGTGTTGGCTATTTGAAAGACACTATTAATATTCTTCAAGTCCTCAAAGATATTGAATGGGAAGAAGAATATTGGTTAGTGACAGCCGATGTTAACTCCCTTTATACCATTATACAACACAGCAAGGGATGTGAAGCAACTAAATTTTTTCTTGAGAAGTCAGAAAGTTTTCCCCAATCCCAAGTTGATTTTATACTAGAGGGTATTGAGTGGATCCTCTGTAATAATTACTTTTGGTTCAATGAGAAATTTTATCTGCAAACTTGTGGAACGGCGATGGGCACCAGGTTTGCACCCAGTTACGCCAATCTTTTTATGTCCTATTGGGAACAGTTATTCATCTTTGGCGACCAGAGATGGGGTGCAAGCCTGGTGTCCTATCATTGCTATATAGATGATATTTTCCTTATCTGGAAAGGTACCAGTGAATCTCTTGATATATTCTTTTCACATGTAGATAACAACGATTGGGGCATTAAACTCACCAGAAATAGTAGTAAACAATCAGTTGAGTTTCTAGATTTAAATATTTTTATTGAAAACAATACAATTAAGACCAATACTTTTTTTAAAAAGGTGGATGTGAACAGTTATATTGAAGGTACTAGCTGTCACTATTCACCCTGGCTCCTCAACGCTCCAAAAGCTCAATTATTGAGAGTCAGACGTAATTGTACTGATGTCACTATGTTTCAAGAACAGGCACAGAAAATTATGACAGACTTCTCAGATAAAGGGTATAGTAAATCATTACTTGACAGTGCTTATGATGAAATAATGATTAAAGAGAGAGAGAGTCTTTTAAAATATAGAGAAAAAACAGTATCCTCTATAGACAATGAATTGGCCTTTATTTGTGATTTTAATGTTCAAAGCAATTTAGTTAAAAAAATAATTCGTAAACACTGGCCCATTCTTAAAAGTGATGAGAAACTCAATAGTTTCCTACCGGAACGCCCTAGAGTTATTTATAGAGGAGTATCCAATTTGAGAAATAGTCTCTCAAACAATAACTCTAATAGGATAAAAGAGACATTGAACCCATTTAATGAATCCAAAGGTTTTTACGGTTGTGGTATTTGTGGCGCTTGCAAAAATACCAACAACATTAAGAGACAAATTAGGGAATTCTCAGATGTACGAAACCCTAAAAAAATTTACAAAATAAAAGATATTATCACCTGTCATACTAAAAGGGTGATTTACATGCTGACGTGTCCATGTGGCCTTTTATATATTGGCCGCACTATACGTCCCCTCCAAGTGAGGATACAGGAACACGTTAGAAATATAAAAAATGGATTCATCAAACACAATGTATCACTTCACTTTAAAAACATGCACAATAGTAATCCCAAAAAAATGCAATTTATGGGTCTCCAGAAAATTGTTTTGGATTGGAGAGGTGATGACTTGGTGAGGAAGATGGGAAGGGCTGAGATGAAATGGATATTCCAACTGGATACCCTACATCCCAAAGGGTTGAATAATGATTTTGAACTTTGTCATTTTTTATAAAAAAAAAAAATAAAAAATAAATTTTTTTTTTTTTTTGGAAATCATGTAATTACTGGTTGCTAAGTTTGGGATTATTTTCTCATTATTATATTTTTTGGTGTTTTTCTTTTATGTGGATTGTAGATAGATATCTGTTATATATTGTTACACTGGGAATGCCATTTCATGTCAATAGACTTTAAGCAGATATCATGTAATATAATTTATATCTATACTGCTTAATTAACTGACTTCCCACTCCTCTCTTCTTTCTTTCTTTTTTTCCATTTGCGGTGTAATTTCTGCTGAACTTGTGTACGATATAATAACTGGCTGGCTATTGCCAGCACTGAAAATGGAGATCGAGGAAAACCGGAAGTGACGCCGCGGACATTGCGATACGTCACTTCCGGTTTTCGTATCAACCAACAATAAAGAAATTAGAGACCTTCACGCCGATTGGATAATTAATGGCGGGAAAGAAGAGCACCAGGACCAATTAGGAGACACCATTTGGAATTTAAACTGGGAAGCATGAACAGCAGGGAACCGATTGAAAAAGCCTCTACAGAAGGTGAAACGCGTCTCGGATAGCAAGGACTTATTTTTAGACTGACCATTGTTTAATGGTATCTTATTTATTATTTATGTTTATACAATAAATTGTTTTTATTTTTATAAATACCTTGAACTATCATTTCCTGCTGACAAAGAAGAGTGGTGCCCTCTTAAAGGCACAGTGCTGTTTTAACTGAGAGCCCAGTGTTGATTGGCTCCCTATAAGGTGAGCAAGTACCTTTTCCACTTTCAATATTTTATTGGTCCAAAGGGTATTACACCAGGATTCTGTTCTTCTGTTTGTTTCTTTGAGGATTTTGAAAATCAACATAGAAGAAGGCTGGGTATTCCCTTTAAATACCTCTGCAGTTGTGATTTGAGCCTATCCATTTCAGGCTCTTTACCATGTGAGTTTGTCACAATTTAAGCTACATTTGTATATCTACTTCTTAACATACTGCACCAAATTTTGTTCTATTTTATCTTTCTCCTCAGATATTTTTATATACATATATGTGTCCCTTATTATAAGGGGTAAGTTGTTTTTTAATATACTAGCGCTCCACTGGGCTTTGTTAGCTGTGACAACTTTGTCTCACTCATAACGCTCTATTTTTCTTTTGCATACTTGAGGCTTATATTGCTGTTTCTGGCCCTTTAATTCACAGAGAAAGGATTTGTACTTTTAAACTGGCTATTCGGATGCAGTCGAAGTGCCGAAGACGGCAAAGTGGCTGCCATTCAAATACCGAACACGTGGCGGTGGCCATTTTAACTTATTCGAATGCTGACCCGTACGTTCTACTCTACTTCGACACTCGTTCGAATGGGACTTAGTAATTTTCTCGGTGTAAAATAAACTGATCACACAGCCCAAATCCATGGAACTGTTTTGGGCATGAAAATGTGCTTGCGGTCAGTCAAAAGTGACTTATATGTATCTCCCGAACAGCTGAACGGATTTGAATGATTTTTGGGTATGTTTGTATTTGGAATGTGCGGATTAATAATATTTTATTAATATTGTATGCATAGTTTTAGAGTTATGAAAGTTGGCTAAAAAGTATGTTTTAAACTGTACGGATAATTGGGTTACCTCTCAGGTTAAGGGGAGGAGATGTGTGGGATGTAACCATTGTGTGATTGGGTATTGTATAATTGTCTGTGGGTGTCTCCCTTGCAGGGGAGAATTGCACAAAAGCAGAGTGTGTGTCATTAAACCAGAGTTCTTCTTCACCCTCAATCAAGAGTCTTGTCTCTGCATGCTCCCTTGGATAATCACTTCTAAGCTCTTTTAAGAGCTTGTTCCTGCTTCCCTCTCTTGGAGGAGAGGTTCACCCACCTGTCGTAGGTCCAGGGTGGGTAGGAGACGGCGAGACCCCAACCAAGCGGCGGCGGTTCGTGGGGTCTGCAGTGGTTGTGGTGTCTGCGGAGCGCTTGGAGCCCTCTGTAAGCGCTTGGAGCATCCTTCAATGGAGGTACCCAGTCGGGGTGCCAGGTGATCCATTACAGTACCTCTCTTGCTCTTGCTCTTACTAAAATTAAAAAAATTTCCCTTTTCTCCGGCACATTTGCTTCACCCTTCAAGCATGCAACCATAACACCAATTTTGAAAAAGCCCAACCTCGACCCCAACTCCCCATCCATCTACCACCCTATATCACTACTGCCATCTGCTTCAGGATCCTTGAGACACTTGTGTATGCGAAATTGACAGACTTCTTTGAACCCAACTCTCTGCTTGACCCATTTAGATTCTGCGCTCGTCACTGTGTTGAAACAGCTGTGGCCAAAGTATCCAATGATTTAAATCGCTGCTAAATCTCGCAGTCATTATGCTATCCTAATTCTCCTTGATCTTTCTGCTGCCTTTGACACTGTTGATCATTCTCCATAATTTTGTACAAGATATTGCTCTCTCCTGGTGCTCTTCCTACCTCTCCCAGCGCTTTTTCAGTGTTTCTTTCTCTGGCTCTGCCTCTTCTCTCCAACCCCTCTCTGTTGGTGTTCCCCAAGGCTCTGTCATTGGTCCCATACTGTTCTCCATCTATATTGCCTCCCTTGGTAAACTCATCAGCTCCTTTGGCTTCCATTATCATTATATGACACACAAATCTACCTGTCCTCTCCTGATCTCTCTCCGCCCATCTTGACTTGTGTCTCTGAATGCCTCTCTGCAATTTCCAACTGGATGACTCCTTATTTCCTTAAACTGTCCAAAACAGAACTTCTGGTCTTCCCTCCCTTAATTGTTGCTACCCCCACGTCTGTCTCCCTTCAAGTCAACAGCGCCACCATCACCTCTACCTCACAGGCTCGCTGCCTAGCTGTTCTCTTTGACTCCAACCTCTCCATCACCCCTCATGTCCAGTCAATTGCCAAATCCTTCCACTTCCATCTCAAAAACATCCACCCCTATTTTACACCAGATGCAGCTACGGTGATTGGACACTGTTGGATGGACGCCTTTCAAGTCAACCCCCACCCAGTTCCTGCAGAATTTCTCTCCATCCGGTTATACACCATGTCTGAATGGCTTATATTCACTTTACAAATGGTCAACATCTTAATAATGCAATATAAAACATTTTATCTTTCACATCCCGTGGATTATTGCATGGGCATTACCTACTGTAATATTGTCGTAGACAAAAACTATAAATCATCCACAATAATACTAAACTGTATATGAGCTCTCTTTACTATGGCTGTATACTGCCTGTTGCTTTTTCATACCATATGTTCCGCCTTGGAATGAGTGAATAACAATTTATATTGCGGATAGATGTGTAACTTCCCCTCTGTCAGTTTGAACTAAATAAAATGTAATAAATGTCTACATACTGAGAGAACAGACATAGTCATTGCTGCATGGAGTGGATAATAGTATAATAATTTTGTTTTCCCCCAATATAATGATATTAAATTCCAATATTAAGAGGTACACCTATTTTCACATCTAAAAAACACAAGTGTTGCTGTGAACTTTCTATATTAATAAATAGTTTATTTTTACATAGTGAATATGTCTTTTATTACATGTTTATAGTATATACAGAGATCTATAAGTTTAGAGGGTTACTGGAAGCATCACAGCCATTACAACCAGTTGTAGTGGAAAGGGTTTACAATGGTTTGCCACTTACCTGGGTCCCGCCAGATGTAGAGTCTGAGAATGGTGGCTGGGCTGCATCTGACATATAGAGAAGTCCAGAAGCCGTAATTCAATACTGCCATTAATTCAAAAAGATAAGTACTGCGCTCACTCCCATCACTACTGGGCGGCAGCAAATACTACCATACACATCAGCCCCAATAAAAACCGAAGAAAAACAAGTTACCTGCGCTTTCTCCTTAATCTCTATGTATTTTTAAACAAATGGAGGTTTTTTTAGTTACCTCCAATGGATATGAGAGGATAAGCCCACCTGCCAATGTCAAGGCAGACCCCCCCAGGTGGGTTCTAACTCTAACCATTCACCTTGCTTCCTGGAGCTTCTGGCAAAGATCTCTAGTGAGACAGAAAGGGGTATTTTTTATATACACCCCTATATATTATTAACCCTTAATAGGGAACACATGGGATGGGCGGGTGCATTGTAACAAAGCTATGTGATGCAAAAAGTGGAACTAAAAACCTCCATTTGTTTAAAAATAAATAGGGATTTAAGGAGAGAGCGCAGGTAACTTGTTTATACTGTATGTTTTGGGGCTGATGTGTACGGTAGTCATTGCTGCTGTCCAGGAGTGATGGGAGTAAGCGCAGGACTTATCTTTTTGCATTTGTATCCACTATTTGCATCACACAACTTTGTTACAATGCTGCCGCACATCCCATGTGTTCCCTATTAAGGGTTAATAAATGTATAGCGGTGTATATAATAAAAAATACCCCTTTCTGTCTCAGAGATATTTTTGCCAGAAGCTCAACGAAGCAGGCTGAAAGTTTAGAGTTAGGACCCACCTGGGGGGTAGAGGGGGGTCTGCCTTGAGGTTGGCAGGTGGGCATACCCTCCCATGGCCATTGGAGGTAACTAAAAAACCTCCATTTGTTTAAAAATACATAGGGATTAAGGAGAGAGCGCAGGTAACTTGTTTTTCTTTGTTTTTTACTGCCAATAATTCATTGGATAATAGCGGCAGCTGAGTATTCATATCCAATGAATAGTGATTGTGTGTAGAATATGTACAGAATTAATGGTCGAGAACTCTCTTTTGGGGCTGACTAATGTGAGCTGCCACAGGTGGAGGAACACCTTCAATAGAAACATTAAATATCTCAGTACATGTAAAAAATCATACAGAAACACTGCACAAACAGGGTGCTTGCACCATAACAACTTAAAAACTGATCATGGTGCTTGGAGCAACTCTTTAAATTTTATTATCTCACCATTTTCTGGAATTATTTTAGTATTTAGTTTATTACTTTACACACAATAACTATTCATAGAGACCACAATGACTAAAAATCCCACACTCACTGACACCTCACTATTTTTGTGTTTACCCCCAGTTATGGGGACACTTACCCCACTTCACAATAACTGTTTTGTCCAAGCTGATGTGTTCCACGTGGCAGGAGTGTCTGTTCATCTCCTCTGGCAGTACTTCCACAGTAACTGTGATCTGGTAGGTGCCATCAGTATTGGGAAGAACCTGTTTGGCCTCATCCGAGGGAACCTCAATGCCATCTCTCTTCCAATTCACGTCCACGTCCCGGGGGTAAAACCCGTACACCTGGCAGAGAAGCTTTGTAGCTCCGTCTGCTTTCTGATCTGAAACCTTCACTGCTGGGCGAACTGGGATTAAAAAAGAAAGAAGATACAAATAAAATACAGATGAAAGGGTTACTCCAACCATTAAACAAACAATTTTTTTTAATTACAATGTCCTATAGGGTATTAGTAATAATAGGTCCCCAGCTGTAGTAAAGACTTTAAAACTTACCTTATACCAGCGTCGAGCAAAGCTCACAGCGCTGATTTTCCATGCCCCGTCCTGATGTCACCTGGCCCTTGCATGGGCCAATCACAGGCTTCTTATAGAAAATCTTGTTATTGGACTGTTTCACTGGTTTACAGTGCATGCAAGCAGTGGGGAGGGAGAAGGGGACAGAGAGTGGGAGATCTTTATTTTACAAAAAAATTTAAACCAAAAACATTCAGTTAGCGGAGGGAGCACAAGTAGGAGGGCAAGAAGGAAAAACTATCTTCCCCTTGCAGGCACTCTGCATGCTTGTAGGAAGAGTTTTACTCTGTGAATGACAGACATTTTTATGCATAGAATTGACATTAGTCAGTTTGGAACAGTTGTTGCACCCTCAGCACACAATTAACAATAACTCAGTATGTCCAGTGTTTCAAGTTGAAACAGTGCACAATCAGACTGCTACCATTATGACCAAATCACTGACGTGTAGCCCATGGAACAGCATAGTAGGTGGAATGGGCCCTGACAGAGCTACGGGCAGGCATAGGAAGCAAATGGTGGTGGCGGTGGGGGTTAACAGGGATGGGCTTAAAAGGGGGGTATATATGACAGCCATCTTATTGGACTGTTTGCGTCCAATTTATTGGGGAAATACTACACAAAGGGAATACTTTCACTATATTCAGCACATCTGGAATTAGGACTAGTGGAGGATTGAAGGAATAACAGCAATAGACTCACAAACCTGTGACACTCCATGTTTTTTAGATTTTGTTCATATTAAATTATGTTTCATATATAAATATTTCATGGGAAATGGAAGCCCTATTTCTCCTGAACAAAATGTGTGGGTGCAATTAATATGAAAGAGGCAAATTGTGGATGAACAGTAATGTAGCTAAAATTATTTTTGTTTTGTTGTGATCAGAACCATTGCTTCCGATCTTAACCCCTTACGGGCACAGCTTCAAACGCTTGTCTTGCACTTAAGTGCACAAGCAATTTTTACATTTTTTGCTGTTTGCATTTAACTGCGATTTGCATTTGACTAATTTATTACACCAACACATACTAGTTGTAATGTAATACTGTTTTTAAAGGACAATAATGGCTTTAATTTGATGTAACATATATAAATGTTTATTTATTATTAAAAAAAATGCAAAAAAGAAAAAGGAAAAATATAGTATTTTTACAGTTTTTGCAATAATAATGTGTGCATAATAAGTGCAGGTTAAGGAAAGTAATTAGAAATAAATTAATTTACTTGTTTTGGCAGTCTCAGGTTACAAAACACAAGGAGTAAAATAAACTTTTAATATGGAGCGATGTTAGAATTTGGTATGTTTCTCTTGCAAGCTTAGTAGCCATAAAAGAAAACAAAATTGCCACACAAAGTTATATATTTATATAAAGTAGACATCACGGGCTATTTACCTAAGGTTGTTTTGACACTTTTTACCTAGCCATTTCACCGCCAATCTCTGCTAAATATTGGAGTAAAATTGTTTTTTTTGTGTTTTTGACACACAAACTTATAACATGTGTATTTTGTAAAGTTGGTGTGTGCTATTCCTGCACAAAACTTTATTTTGTGTTCAGCTACATCTGCTGGGTACAACGATACCCCCAATGTATGTCTTTGGCACTATTTTGTGAAGCTACGGTGCCATATAGGAGACCTGTCCATTTCAGTATTTACAGTAGAATTTTGAGAGACGGAATTGATGGGCCTATGTTTAAATTTGGGGTATTATAGCAGTTTGACTGTTCAAAAAAAAAAACATTTGTAAAAGTAGACACTCCAGGGTATCTCATATGCTCATATAGTGCATATTGTGCCTTAACATACCAGCAGTTTTACACCAATATATTTAAAAGTTTGTGGTAAAAAAATATTTTTGGCATTTTTTACATATGTATTACATTTTTGCTGGGCATTTTGTATATTTGATATGTGCCACTATTATCAAAGCCCCCAAATTATGCTCAGCTAAGTCTTCCTACACTGCCATATAGGAGACTTGCCCATTTCAGTAGAATTTTCAGAGATTTGATGGGCCTATGTTTCTATTTGGGGCATTATAACAGTTTGACTGTTAAAAAAAACATAAACCCACAAAGGCCTACCATTTGTAAAAGTAGACACCCCAGGGTATTTAAAAAGGCATATTTTAAACCCTAGCGTAGGATCATTTTTTTGTTACTTTGTATCACGTCTAGTTGCAATTAGCATTTTTTCTGCCTTTTTTACACACACTTGGAGATGTTACTGTATATTTTGCAATCCTTCTGTGTGCTACGGCAGTATAACACCTACTATGTTGCTCAGCTATGTCGTCTTAGTACAACAATACCCCCATGTTTACCTTTTTCAGGGATATGTGGATGTTGAAGGGGCACATTGAAGACCAAGCCATATCAGTTTTTTCCAAACTTTGAATTTTGAAGCTCGGCCCATGAGCAATTTTCAAAATTTTAGAAGCCTCCTTGGCCTGAATTAACTCAGCATCTTTAACTTAAATAACTAAAAATATATAAACTATATACATGTTGATACCCCAACATGACTAAAATCACACCCCAAAACTGGTCTACTTATTCGGTCTGGGTGTGGTAAATTCTAAAACAGTGGCCAATACATAGGCTGGGCAGAGAGGGGCAATCAGGGCAGTAATAACTGGTCTCAGTTCTTACGCCCCTCTTGTAACATACCCTGCACCTTTTCTGGGGGTTTTTATTTTTGGGGCTTGATGGAATCTTGAAGCAGAAGTGACCTCCCTTGTTTCTTCTGCTAGGCTCCACTGATGGTCCCCCTGTGTGGCACTCAAGCAGCCCAGAAATGAACTGAAACTGAAATTAAAGAAACGTGCATTTCAGCTCAGCATTTGCCCTTTTAAACATACCAAAGGCATTGTGTATTCCGTCTGCATTATATAAATGCTCACTATATTGTGCCATACCCTGGTCTTTCGCATTATTAAATATGGCTGCATCAGTTGATCGGACAGGTCAACTCCCCCATGTGTCAATCGTTAATGGTTTAGGCAGACTGGTACTCCTTTAATTTCCTCTATGCCACGAACTGCGACCTTGTGAGTGTGTTCACTATGGATGGTGGTTAAGATGAAAACCTCCTTTTTTACTTTAGTGCCAGCAGTTCATCCTGGCAGAAAGCTGCTGTTTCCCCCTTTTTTCTTTTTTTTCTGCTAGTGCCTTTGGGAAACCTGTGCCATTCTTCTTCCAAATAGTGCCACAGGCTACAGTCTACAGGCTACAGAAGTACAGCATTTTTAGAAGTGGGATACTATTGTAAAAATTATCAATATACAAGTGATGTCGCTTGTTTAGTAAAGGCATGATTAGGTCCCAAACTATTTTCCTACTTGTTCCTACTATATCTGGGCAACCTGGGGGATCAAGGTAGCCATCCCTTACTTCGATTTCACACAACTTATAAAATTTGATCCCATATCGGGATCGTTTGGATGGGATGTACTGTTTAAACTCCAGTCTTCCCTTATACGTTATGAGGGATTCGTCAATAGAAATATGTTTTTTGGGGGTATAGATAGTGACAAATTTTTCATTAAAGTTAGCAAAAAGAGGGCGTATTTTATATAGAAGATCATACTGTGAATGACCTTTTTGGGGGCACTTCATATTGTCACTAAATTGCAGTATGTCTTCATATCTAGGCCTACTCATTGTCTGTTGAAACAAATTGAGGTATTGCAAATAGTTGGAGAGCAAAAATGGGTCGCAAGAGTATTCTGAGAACAGACAGCAGCTAAAATAGCCTGCCCTTCAGTGGGTCCCCGCTCAGAAGTCAAGCTGGTTTTAGCTCAACTTGTGCCATTACAGAGAGAACATATCTGAAGCATATCAGACTGGTCCCACCCATACGGGCAGTCCAGATCCAAAATGTCAGCAAGTTCTCTCTGCACGAGAGATACAGCAACCCCAGACGATCGTTTCAGCCTTGCTAGGCATCATCAGTGAGGCATAGCTGGTATCTCTCTAGGCACCGTGAGCAAGGGATCCACGTCTGGATTACCCTTTAAACTAATGGAGAGCAAAAATGGGTCGCAAGAGTATTCTGAGAACAGACAGCAGCTAAAATAGCCTGCCCTTCGGTGGGTCCCCGCTCAGAACTCAAGCTGGTTTTAGCTCAACTTGTGCCATTACAGAGAGAACATATCTGAAGCATATCAGACTGGTCCCACCCATGCGGGCAGTCCAGATCCGAAATGCCAGCAAGTTCTCTCTGCACGAGATACAGCAACCCCAGACGATCGTTTCAGCCTTGCAAATAGTTGTTTTTAGACCAATACATTCTAATGGTGAGCTTTTTATTTATCCCCATTAGCATTGTCAGTGCCCAGAATTCTTTCAATTCTGGCACACTGGTGGGGTACCATCTCTCTTTTCTGGCGATGAGAGACTCTTGATTGTGTGCCAGATACTGCTCCGCATACAGATTAGTCTGGGTGACTATCTCCCCAAAAATAGCATCCGCCTAGAACAGCTGCATGCAATCCAGCACATTATAGCCAGACAGGTCAGCCTGTAGGCCAGGATTGGCAGTGAACTCTGGTATGTCTGCGCCATGTTTAGCATTAGGGGAATCAGCGATTTCTCCTGATGGTCCTGCAGTATATGGCACATAGTCCCTTTCCCCTGCGTCACTCTCTGAGGCAGTGTCTGTTGCCTCAGAGTCGGCAGGTAACAGGGCATAAGCCTCCTCTGCACTATATTTCCTAAACATTGTGCACTACGGTAATAAACTTTAACTATAACCAAATAACTAAACTTTTTTTTTAACTTCATTTTTTACTTTTCACCCCTAACTAGCTTATCACTAAATTCCCCAATTCCCACTAAATTCCCCCCACCCCCAACTAACTTGATAAAATAAAACGTAAAAATTTAACCCCTAAGGATTACTAAAAAAAATCTAATTTAACCCCTGAGGGTAAAAAAAACCAAAAAACTAAATCACAGTAAAGTACTGTGATCTGCACTTTGATCACTGCTGGCAGTGATCGATCAGCAGGTAAAGGGTTACACTTTTTTTTTTTTTTAAAGAAAAGGGTAAAGGGGTTTGGAATCTCTTCTGACAATTTTTTTTCAGGGAAACAAAGCAACAACGATCCGAGGGAGGCAGATCTGATATCCCAGCAGAATTGTGCCCACTGTAACTGGAGGTCACAACGATCACATGGGCTGGGACATTGCGATTTGGTCTGGTCTGCCACTGACTCCGCCATGTGTCGTTAAGTGCTTTCCCAGCATGACGGTAGAGAGCCACTAGAGGAGGAGTGAATCTTGCAAAGTAGCTATTGCATTTTCTCAATGTCCAGCCCCTCCCCCACACCCAGCCCCCCACCTCTCCTGTCCAGCCCCTCCCCCACACCCA